TCTTCCAGAAACCTAAGAGAGAATCTTTAAATTTAAGAAAAAAACCTTATTTTTTTTGCCATTTTTTTGGGAAATTGGAATTTTCAAATGGTCATAACATAGGTCGGAGGTTCCCAAAAAAATCATAAATTCGGTACCGAAAAAAATTCAGAATTTAGTGCTCGATTTTTTTCCAGAATGTTAACTCTTCCAGAAACCTAAGAGAGAATCTTTAAATTTAAGAAAAACCTTATTTTTTTGCCATTTTTTGGGAAATTGGAATTTTCAAATGATCATAACATAGGTCGTAGGTTCCCAAAAATCATGAATTCGGTACCGAAAAATTCAGATTTTAGTGCTCGATTTTTCCAGAATGTTAACTCTTCCAGAAACCCTAGAGAGAATCTTTAAATTTAAGAAAAACCTTATTTTTTTGCCATTTTTTGGGAAATTGGAATTTTCAAATGATCATAACATAGGTCGGAGGTTCCCAAAAAAATCATAAATTCGGTACCGAAAAAAATTCAGAATTTAGTGCTTGATTTTTCCAGAATGTTAACTCTTCCAGAAACCTAAGAGAGAATCTTTAAATTTAAGAAAAACCTTATTTTTTTGCCATTTTTTGGGAAATTGGAATTTTCAAATGATCATAACATAGGTCGTAGGTTCCCAAAAATCATGAATTCGGTACCGAAAAATTCAGATTTTAGTGCTTGATTTTTCCAGAATGTTAACTCTTCCAGAAACCCTAGAGAGAATCTTTAAATTTAAGAAAAAAACCTTATTTTTTTGCCATTTTTTTGGGAAATTGGAATTTTCAAATGATCATAACATAGGTCGGAGGTTCCCAAAAAAATCATGAAATTCGGTACCGAAAAAAATTCAGATTTTAGTGCTCGATTTTTTTCCAGAATGTTAACTCTTCCAGAAACCCTAGAGAGAATCTTTAAATTTAAGAAAAAAACCTTATTTTTTTGCCATTTTTTTGGGGAAATTGGAATTTTCAAATGATCATAACATAGGTCGGAGGTTCCCAAAAAAATCATAAATTCGGTACCGAAAAAAATTCAGAATTTAGTGCTTGATTTTTTTCCAGAATGTTAACTTTTCCAGAAACCTAAGAGAGAATCTTTAAATTTAAGAAAAAAACCTTATTTTTTTGCCATTTTTTGGGAAATTGGAATTTTCAAATGATCATAACATAGGTCGTAGGTTCCCAAAAATCATGAATTCGGTACCGAAAAATTCAGATTTTAGTGCTTGATTTTTCCAGAATGTTAACTCTTCCAGAAACCCTAGAGAGAATCTTTAAATTTAAGAAAAACCTTATTTTTTTGCCATTTTTTGGGAAATTGGAATTTTCAAATGGTCATAACATAGGTCGGAGGTTCCCAAAAAATCATAAAATCGGTACCGAAAAATTCAGATTTCAGTGCTCGATTTTTCCAGAATGTTAACTCTTCCAGAAACCTAAGAGAGAATCTTTTAAATTTAAGAAAAAAACCTTATTTTTTTTGCCATTTTTTTGGGAAATTGGAATTTTCAAATGATCATAACATAGGTCGGAGGTTCCCAAAAAAATCATAAATTCGGTACCGAAAAAAATTCAGAATTTAGTGCTCGATTTTTTTCCAGAATGTTAACTCTTCCAGAAACCCTAGAGAGAATCTTTTAAATTTAAGAAAAAAACCTTATTTTTTTGCCATTTTTTTGGGAAATTGGAATTTTCAAATGATCATAACATAGGTCGGAGGTTCCCAAAAAAATCATAAATTCGGTACCGAAAAAAATTCAGAATTTAGTGCTTGATTTTTTTCCAGAATGTTAACTCTTCCAGAAACCTAAGAGAGAATCTTTAAATTTAAGAAAAAAACCTTATTTTTTTGCCATTTTTTTTGGGGAAATTGGAATTTTCAAATGATCATAACATAGGTCGGAGGTTCCCAAAAAAATCATAAATTCGGTACCGAAAAAAATTCAGAATTTAGTGCTTGATTTTTTTCCAGAATGTTAACTCTTCCAGAAACCCTAGAGAGAATCTTTTAAATTTAAGAAAAAAACCTTATTTTTTTGCCATTTTTTTGGGAAATTGGAATTTTCAAATGATCATAACATAGGTCGGAGGTTCCCAAAAAAATCATAAATTCGGTACCGAAAAAAATTCAGAATTTAGTGCTTGATTTTTTTTCCAGAATGTTAACTCTTCCAGAAACCCTAGAGAGAATCTTTTAAATTTAAGAAAAAAACCTTATTTTTTTGCCATTTTTTTGGGAAATTGGAATTTTCAAATGATCATAACATAGGTCGGAGGTTCCCAAAAAAATCATAAATTCGGTACCGAAAAAAATTCAGAATTTCAGTGCTCGATTTTTTTCCAGAATGTTAACTCTTCCAGAAACCCTAGAGAGAATCTTTAAATTTAAGAAAAAAACCTTATTTTTTTTGCCATTTTTTTGGGAAATTGGAATTTTCAAATGATCATAACATAGGTCGGAGGTTCCCAAAAAAATCATAAATTCGGTACCGAAAAAAATTCAGAATTTAGTGCTTGATTTTTTTCCAGAATGTTAACTCTTCCAGAAACCTAAGAGAGAATCTTTTAAATTTAAGAAAAAAACCTTATTTTTTTGCCATTTTTTTGGGAAATTGGAATTTTCAAATGATCATAACATAGGTCGGAGGTTCCCAAAAAAATCATAAATTCGGTACCGAAAAAAATTCAGAATTTAGTGCTTGATTTTTCCAGAATGTTAACTCTTCCAGAAACCCTAGAGAGAATCTTTAAATTTAAGAAAAACCTTATTTTTTTGCCATTTTTTGGGAAATTGGAATTTTCAAATGATCATAACATAGGTCGGAGGTTCCCAAAAATCATAAATTCGGTACCGAAAAATTCAGATTTCAGTGCTCGATTTTTCCAGAATGTTAACTCTTCCAGAAACCCTAGAGAGAATCTTTAAATTTAAGAAAAACCTTATTTTTTTGCCATTTTTTGGGAAATTGGAATTTTCAAATGATCATAACATAGGTCGGAGGTTCCCAAAAAAATCATAAATTCGGTACCGAAAAAAATTCAGAATTTAGTGCTTGATTTTTTTCCAGAATGTTAACTCTTCCAGAAACCCTAGAGAGAATCTTTTAAATTTAAGAAAAAAACCTTATTTTTTTGCCATTTTTTTGGGAAATTGGAATTTTCAAATGATCATAACATAGGTCGGAGGTTCCCAAAAAAATCATAAATTCGGTACCGAAAAAATTCAGAATTTAGTGCTTGATTTTTTTCCAGAATGTTAACTCTTCCAGAAACCTAAGAGAGAATCTTTAAATTTAAGAAAAAAACCTTATTTTTTTGCCATTTTTTTTGGGAAATTGGAATTTTCAAATGATCATAACATAGGTCGGAGGTTCCCAAAAAAATCATAAATTCGGTACCGAAAAAAATTCAGAATTTAGTGCTTGATTTTTTTCCAGAATGTTAACTCTTCCAGAAACCCTAGAGAGAATCTTTAAATTTAAGAAAAAAACCTTATTTTTTTGCCATTTTTTTGGGAAATTGGAATTTTCAAATGATCATAACATAGGTCGGAGGTTCCCAAAAAAATCATAAATTCGGTACCGAAAAAAATTCAGAATTTTAGTGCTTGATTTTTTTCCAGAATGTTAACTCTTCCAGAAACCTAGAGAGAATCTTTAAATTTAAGAAAAAAACCTTATTTTTTTGCCATTTTTTTGGGAAATTGGAATTTTCAAATGATCATAACATAGGTCGGAGGTTCCCAAAAAAATCATAAATTCGGTACCGAAAAAAATTCAGAATTTTAGTGCTTGATTTTTTTCCAGAATGTTAACTCTTCCAGAAACCTAAGAGAGAATCTTTAAATTTAAGAAAAAAACCTTATTTTTTTTGCCATTTTTTTGGGAAATTGGAATTTTCAAATGATCATAACATAGGTCGGAGGTTCCCAAAAAAATCATAAATTCGGTACCGAAAAAAATTCAGAATTTAGTGCTTGATTTTTTTCCAGAATGTTAACTCTTCCAGAAACCTAAGAGAGAATCTTTTAAATTTAAGAAAAAAACCTTATTTTTTTGCCATTTTTTTGGGAAATTGGAATTTTCAAATGATCATAACATAGGTCGGAGGTTCCCAAAAATCATAAATTCGGTACCGAAAAAAATTCAGAATTTTAGTGCTTGATTTTTTTTCCAGAATGTTAACTCTTCCAGAAACCCTAGAGAGAATCTTTTAAATTTAAGAAAAAAACCTTATTTTTGCCATTTTTTTGGGAAATTGGAATTTTCAAATGGTCATAACATAGGTCGGAGGTTTCCTGAAATTATAAATTTGGTACCGTAAAATTCAGAATTTAGTGCTTGATTTTTCCAGAATTTTAGCTTTATTGAGAACCCTAGAGAGAATCTTTA